AGCGGAAAGGAGCAGCCAAGCATACTAGGACTCAATTTCTTGACTTTAAGAAAGCCGACTTCATAAAACTTAGGGAAGTGCTGGGTGAGATCCCATGGACAGTAATACTAAAAGGAAAGGGAGTTCATGATGGCTGGGAGTTTGTTAAGAGGGAGATAGTAAAAGCACAACGTCAGGCAATACCAATGAGACGGAAACATGGAAGGTGCCTAAAGAAGCCAGGGTGGCTATCTAAAGAACTTTTAACTGAGTTAAGATTAAAAAGGATGTGTACAAAAAATGGAAAAGGGGGGAAACCACCAAAGAGGAATTCAAACAAATAGCCAGCACGTGTAGACACAAAATCAGAAAAGCTAAAGCACAGAATGAACTCAGGCTTGCTAGAGAGGTTAAAAGCAACAAAAAGGCTTTTATGGGTATGTTCGTAGCAAAAGGAAGAACAAAGGAACAGTGGGGTCACTCAGAGGAGAAGATGGTGAAATGCAAACAGGGGACACAGAAAGGGCTGAACTCCTCAATGCCTTCTTTGCCTCAGTCTTCTCCGATAAAGAAAACAATGCCCGACCTGAAGAATTTGGAGCAAATGATTCAGCAGAGGAAACACAGCCCAGGATAACTAAGGAGATAGTACAAGAATACTTGGCTAGTTTAGATGTATTCAAGTCTCCAGGGCCAGATGAACTGCATCCAAGAGTATTAAAAGAACTGGCAGATGTGATCTCAGAACCACTGGCAGTCATCTTTGAGAATTCCTGGAGAACAGGCGAAGTCCCGGCAGACTGGAGGAGGGCAAATGTTGTCCCTATTTTCAAAAAGGGGAAAGAGAGGACCCAAATAATTACCGCCCAGTCAGTCTGACATCAATACCAGGGAAGATTCTGGAGCAGATCATTAAGCAAACAGTCTGTGAGCACCTAGAAAGGAATGCTGTGATCACCAATAGTCAGCATTGATTTCTGAAAAATAAGTCATGCCAGACTAACCTGATCTCGTTTTTTGACAGAATTACAAGCCTGGTAGATGAAGGGAACGCAGTGGATGTAGCCTACCTTGATTTCAGCAAGGCATTTGACAAGGTGCCCCATGATATTCTTGTAAAGAAGCTGGTAAAAAGCGTAGTGTGGTGGAGTCTCCTTCTTTGGAGGTCTTTAAGCAGAGACTTGACAACCATATGTCAGGAGTGCTCTGATGGTGTTTCCTGCTTGGCAGGGGGTTGGACTCGATGGCCCTTGTGGTCTCTTCCAACTCTATGATTCTATGATTCTATGACCTAGATCCAGGAAGCAATAGTGCCACTGTATTCTGCTCTGGTCAGATCTCATCTGGAGTACTGTGTCCAGTTCTAGGGACACCACAGGTCTGATGAAGGACATCTGACAAACTGGAACGTGTCTCAGATGAGGGCAACCAAAATGGTCAAAGGCTTGGAAACGCATGATTTACGAGAAATCATGGACTAAGCAGAAAGCCTGGGCTTGTTTAGCCTGGAGAAGAGGAGGTTAAGGGCTGATACGATAGCCATGTTCAAATATAGTAAGATGGATGCCACAACCTCAGAGTCGAGGCATGACTAAGGCTGTCTTCTGGCTGCTCCAGAGCAGCGGACACGGAAGCAATGGATACCATACTACAGGAGCAGAACGCATTCCATCTACTTGCACTTAGGACGAACTTCCTGAACAGCTAAGAGCTGTTCGGCAGTGGAGTTTGCTGACCAAGCAGCGTGATGGAGCTCTCCTTCTTTGGAGGTCTTTAGCAGAGGCTTGCCAACCATCTGATCAGGCAAGTGCTCTGATGGTGTTTCCTGCTTGGCAGGCGTTGGCACCCGATGGCCCATGTGGTCATCTTCCAGAACGTGCGTATGATTGCTATGACTTCTAAATGTGGATCAAATTTCCTTCCTGACTCTATATCCATGCACCTATTTTGCCATGTCCTGGCACTGCCTGCCTAGGTTTTTCAAACATTTTCAGCTTGAACTTGCTAAAACACCTTCTTGTAGAGATTCTTTGGTGGCATTGACCCTTCCAATTCTACAGCCTGTTATTCTGTTGTAACACAGATGCATTCAGTGTAACATAAGGAGCCCTGATACATGCAGTCCTTAACTCTCAAAATTGACAATGGTGGAGTTAAGATCACCTTCGCCCATTAGACATGGCATGAGCAGGGGCTGGAGATTTCCTGCACCTCCTTCCTCTGTCACCATTGGCATGGGAAGCTGAAGCGACCCAGACAGATCTGAACGGCTTCCACACGGGTGATTGATGGCTGCCGTGGTCTGGGAGCTCCCAAAATAATTCCAACAAATGTTTCCTGGTAGCACCTGGCGCCCAACCAGGAGGCAGCGCTAGCATTTCCTAAATACTAAAAAAAATAAAAATGACTGTCCCCACAGATGCCTGGGCTAAATATAACTTTGGTGAGATGGCAACCTTCGGAAGGTGGGAGGGAAGCAGATTCTTGAACGTGGGGTGTGCCCACCTATTGGGTTTCCTATGCTACACCCATCCAGGGAAACTGGTTCCCAGCCAGTGAGATTTAGTCCTAACAGATAGATCATAGGCAGTTAAATCCTTTGTACAGTACTCAGCAACACCAGGTACCAGTATCTTAAAGTTAACTAACTAAAATATGTGGAATTGTTTTAATTATTTTCATATTTGAAATGGTTTCCTGTAGGCTTCTTTGGTCATCATTGCTGCTTCCATTGTTAAATCGCTTTGAGGTGTTCCTTAGGAAGCGATTCATAAATGGGACGAGGTAAGGAAGGGGCTACATTGGGACGTGTTGCACCCACCGCTGCCGTGTCCTGTCTTTGCCTCTGAGCCTGCAAAGCACCCTCTTGGCATAAATTGGATTCCTTGCTGTGAGTCCTCTTATGCCACAAAGAACCCTTTGAAGGCAAATGCGCCAGTTTCCAAATATCCGATGCATCCGAGTACTCGGTGCAAATAATTCAGTAAACCAAGAGCTCCTGAGCTAGACTTCCATTTACACACACACACACACACACACACACACACACACACACACACACACACACACAGCGCTTGAATTCCGTTCTCTTTTGAAGCCTCAATGAGAACATGCTGCAAAAATTCAAAGACATCTCGGTGTTCGCCCTCTGAAAAGCGCGCGCGCGCACACACACACACACACACACACACACACACACACGACAATCCCTCCACACAAGAGTCCTTCCACCTCTTTGGGAAGTCGCTCTCTTGGCTCCCGGCTAACAGAGACCGTCATGGGAACTGTTCCTACAGCAGACTAGGTAAACAAACCGATATAGAACAGATTTACTCTGCAGAACAGCTGGGAAGGAAAGCTGTAACGCCAGCCGCCGTGTTGCCATTTACACAAAAATAGCCAATTCGGAACCTCCTGAGCAGCTCACGGGCTCCTGTGAGTTGCTGGCATGAGGTTTTTTTTTTTTAACAGAATGCATGCTTATGGCTCTTCTCATTTTAACTCAACTACTGTCTGAGCCACAGAGAGTCATATCTCAAAGTGAAAGCATATAGGGGCATAGGATGCTGTCAGATCATTGGTCCATCTAGTGCAATACTTGTCTACACAGACTGGCAGTGACTCTCCAGGGTTTGGGGCTGAAGGTTTCTCCCAACCCCTACCTGGAGGTGTTGGGGGTTGAACCTGGGAAATCTTGCTTGCCGTCTATGTGCTCTGCCACTGAGCCACAGCACGGCCCTTAAATAATAATAATGAGGTCCTGGCCCTCATGGTTCTGAACAAAGGGCTGATTTAAATAGGCAGACGGGGAGCTGTATTGTTGAAATCGACTGGCAGCAGCACACCCCACATGCTCTGCCACAATCCTGTCTATTTCCAGGAGAGACAGTGTGGTAGGCTGGTTAGAACATTGGAGCAGGATCTGGGAGACTGGGGTTCAACTCCTTACTTGTGCAAAAAGCTCACTGGGTACTGGGTAATAATAATAATAATAATAATAATAATAATAATTTATTATTTATACCCCGCTCATCTGACTGGGTTTCCCCAGCCACTCTGGGCGGCTCCCAACAGAATATTTAAAACATGATAAAAACATCAAAAATTAAAAACTTCCCTAAACAGGGCTGCCTTCAGATGTCTTCTAAAAGTCAGATAGTTGTTGATTTCCTTGACATCTGGTGGGAGGGCATTTCACAGGGTGGGCGCCACCAGTGGCGTAGCGTGGGGGTGCAGGGGGGCCGGCCGCACCGGGCGCAACATCTGGGGGGGGGGGCGCTCGCACTCGCAGAACTCTTCCCCTACCTGGCTCACTCTCTCTCTCTCACTGCAGTGCTGGCTGTGCGAATCCGATCCGAGCCGCTGGGTCGCCGCCCACTGTGGAGGGGGTGGGTGCCAGGCGTGCGGTGCGGAGAGAGAGTGAGGGACTATCTGGAGAGAACCACACCAGACCAGACCAGGCAGCAGCAAGAAGAAGCTGGCAGCGGCGGCAGGTTAGGGGTTAGGGGCGCAAATTACTTGCCTTACCCCGGGTTAGGGGGCGCAAATTACTTGCCTTGCCCCGGGTTAGGGGGTGCAAATTACTTGCCTTGCCCTGGGTTAGGGGGCACAAATTACTTGCCTTGCCCCGGGTTAGGGGGTGCAAATTACTTGCCTTGCCCCGGGTGCTGACAACTCATGCTACGCCGCTGGGCGCCACTACCAAGAAAGCCCTCTGCCTGGTTCCCTGTAACCTCACTTCTCGCAGGGAGGGAACCACCAGAAGGCCCTCATAGCTGGACCTCATTGTCCAGGCTGAACGACGGGGGTGGAGACGCTCCTTAGATCTGCCATTGCCTCTCAGCCTAACCTACCACACAGGGATGTCGTGGGATTTAAATGAGAAGGGGGAGAACCAAATACATCAGCTTGAGTTCCTCGGAGAATTAATTAATTAAGTAATTAATTAAATGGGCTCAGGTACTACCTCACCTTACCCCATGAAACCTCTGGCAGGTGAAAAACCAAGCCTTATGAGGAGCGTTTGAAGGAGCTGGGTATGTTTAGCCTGGAAAAGAGGAGACTGAGAGGAGATATGGTAGCCATCTTCAAAGATCTCAAGGGCTCTTGAGGGAACAAGCTTGTTTCCTTCTGCCCTGGAGGGTAAGACTTGAACCAATGGCTTCAAATGACAAGAAAGGAGATTCTGACTCAACATCAGGAAGAACTTGCAGACAGTAAGAGCTGTTCAACGGTGGAATGGTCTCATCGGGAGGTGGTGAACTCTCCTTCCTTAGAGATGTTTAAGCAGAAGTCGGATGGCCATCTCTTCACTGAGGTTTCTGCATTGGACTATACGACCATTGGGCTCCCTTCCAACTCTGTTGCTGTTGTTTAGTCGTTTAGTCGTGTCCGACTCTTCATGACCCCATGGACCAGAGCACGCCAGGCACTCCTGTCTTCCACTGCCTCCCGCAGTTTGGTCAAACTCATGCTGGTTGCTTCGAGAACACTGTCCAGCCATCTCATCCTCTGCCGTCCCCTTCTCCTTGTGCCCTCCATCTTTCCCAGCATCAGGGTCTTTTCCAGGGAGTCTTCTCTTCTCATGAGGTGGCCAAAGTATTGGAGCCTCAGCTTCCTACAATTCCATTATTCTATGACTCTAGCAATGCGGGATACTGCAGCTTTAAAAGGCTTGCAATGTAGATTGCTATATTGTATATTTTATTACATTGCATGGCACTATGTCTTAGAGCCAGGCTGTCCAATGTAAGGTCCACATCACAGGCGCATGGGAGCCTGTTTTTGCTCAGCGCAAGCCCACATGGTGCGACTCTAAGGTGCATGGAAACATGATGCGAAAGCATGATAGGGACTGACTATCGCTGCTCTTTTCCATGCTGCAATTGCAGTTGAAGGGAAGTGGGGGCTGAGGCAGTGGTATTTTGGGAGAAGGGGAGCATTAGGGACCAGAAAATATTCGTCAGGGGAAAGGAATTTTCCTTTTATTTTTAGATTGCCTGCCTCTTTTGGTTCTTCAGGCCATCCATGCTCGTTACATGCATAAAGACATATTTTAAAGGAAGATTTGCTCGTCCGTCTGTCCCCTTTGAGTCCAGCTGCCCCTTCTCTTCACAACGCATCTGAGAGATGCACCAACCAGACATTTAAATGCTGATTCAGTTGTACTTCTTGAACCTTTCACATTACTTCGAGGCCTTTGAAAGTTGTTTTAAAGTGCTGCTTATCGCTTTATTTGAAAACTTTATTCCCTCCACTCAACAGAATTTAATTTTGAAATAAAGTTAAAAATTAAGGCAAAACGAATAAAGGAAGTCATATTTTGAAATAATTTTTCAACAGTTTCAAAGCGGCACAGATGCTAGCCAGTCAACACTGTGCACAGTTGATTTCTGATGTCAAAATGCAAATGGTTTTCGCCTGAGTTTGATGCTGGAGAGAAGATCATTTTGAGCACGACATGGCGAGTTTGCTGACACAGAAACCCTCCCCCCACTCAAAATGATGTACTGTATTTTCCCCTGTATAAGACATTTTTTGCTAGAAAAAAAAAATTAGTCAAAAATTGGGGGTCATATTATACATGGATGGTGAATGCACTGGGGTTCCGGTTCGGGCCAACTTTAGCCAACTTCCTTCAAAAAAGCTGAACAACTTTGGGCAACATCTCCCTTAAAAAGCTCAGAGTTGTTCTGTTTGATGTTTAAAATATTGATTTCTTAATATTTTTTGGGTTTAAAAATATAGGGGTCGTCTTATACATGGGAGTGTCTTTTACACGGAAAAACACAGTACATTCACTCTTGGAACTGCCACGGAAATCTAGAGCTGGTTGGTTTGGAGGGACCCAATCCATGACGAATCCTGTGCAAATCCTCTTAGCTCCCAGTCTGCCATCAAGAGCAGCAGGAATAAGATGGCACTACCACAATGATTGTACATTGTTATCTTGGTTCTCGAACGTAATCTGTTCCAGAAGTCCGTTTGACTTCCAAAAAGTTCGAAAACCAAGGCACGGCTTCCGTTTGGTTGCAGGAGCTTCCTGCACTCAAGCAGAAACTGCATCGGACGTTCGCCTTCTGGAAAACGTTTGAAAACCGGAACACTTACTTCTGGTTTTTTGGCGTTTGGGAGCCAAAACATATGAGTACTAAGGCATGACTGTATTGGCTGACAGTGACATGCACACTGAATTGATGTGCTTAGTGCTTGGAAAAACCTGGTTGGGTGTCATGGCCTGTCCCATATAAAGAAGGCACACGTCTGATAGTTAACTCTTTATTATCAAAAGAAACACAGCAGCTTCCACGGTGCTCCGAATACACATGCGCAAACACTTCCCAGCTCTAGGCAGGTATCCACAGGTCTGGGTCAGTTGCAACAAACGGGAGACCCCACCCCTCTTCCCGCTTACAAACCCTCCTCTGATATGTTGTGCGCCCATAACCTGAGACTTCTCCTGCACGGAAGTCACTGCTGCTCTTCCCACTTTGAGCCCCCCTGGTTCAGTGGGGCAGGGAAAGGTGGAGAGTCTACTGACCCACCTGTCAGCTGAACAGACTCTTTTTCTTCCACCACTGGAGGACCTTGCTGTGTCCATGCCTCCTGCCTTGCACCCCATGAATCACTGGTCCCCTCTCCTGGGTCACTCCCCTTTGTCCTCTGCCTCCACCACAAGCTCTCCTGAGAATTGCCCATGACATCAGGCAACACTTCCATATCGGGAAAAGTGAGGATCACTCAGAGGAGGGGTGAAGGTGAGCAGCCTGTGGCTCTCCAGGTGCTTGACTCCAACTCCCATCATCCTGGACCATTGACTAGGCTAGCTGGGGCTGATGGGAGTTGGAGTCCAGCAAGAGCTGGAGGGCAGCAGGTTCCTCAGTCCTGTGCTAGAGAAATTGGGAAATAGTGCCAGCTGGGAACTGAACCAAGGAGACCTGCCCCAGAACTTAGTGGGAGGTGGAATGCCATGACTGGGAAGTCATGACTTCTTCTTTTGCTATTTTTTTTTTGGGGGGGGGCGAATTGTATCCCAGTTCAAGAAATGTATATTACTGGTATATAGTATGCTACTTTCTACACACACTTCTCTGGTCTTCATGCAAGCAAGCAAGAGGCAGGACCAGGTCCTGAGAATCCAGCCAGTCAGAAACACCAATGGAGGGTGCAGAGTTCATGAGAGGGGTGGCCCAGGGATGGGAGGTGGTGTGAGTACTGAGGGTCAGATGGGGGAGGTTTGGAGGGCTGCATTTGCCTTGCAGGAACCACCCCGTGCACTGGACCATGGTAGAAAACAGTGGGGTTTTTTTGTAGAAAAATAGGTACTGGTAGGCACCATGAAGTTGTTACAGAGGTGCCAGAACAGTGTACGGTTGAGTACTCCCTGAAGAAAAGCATTGCCTAAGCTTAACCCTGACCCTAGCTCTAATCCTAATGCTAACCCTAACCCTAAACCTAAACCTAACCCTAAACAGACTTCCAAACCTAACCCAACCTTAGCCTGAAACGCAACTGTAACACAAACACAAACACTAATCCTAAACCCAATCCTAAAGCTAAGCCTAAACCTAGGCCTAACCCCGCCTCCAAACCTAACTGTAAGTGTAACCCTGACCCTGACCCTGACCCTAACCATAACTCTAACCCAACCCTATAACCTTAGCCCTAGCCCTAGCACGAAACCCAACCCTAACTCTAACCTTAACCCTGAACACAACCCTAACCCTAACCCTACCTCCAGCCTTAACCCTAATCCTACCTCCAACCCTTGCCCTAATCCTTGTCCTAGCTCTAGCCCTAGCCCTAATCACTTTGGTCAAAACTAAAGAAAGAAAGAAAAGAAGCTCAACAGCTTTTCCAGAAAAATCTCAACTTTTCTGTCCGGATTTTCACTTTTTGAAATAAGGCAAACCTACCCTGAGAGTCATCTAGTCCAACCCAATGTGGGGCTTGAACCCACAAACTTGAGATTAACAGTCTCATGCTCTACCAACCGAGCTATCCCAGCTAAATCTAGCACCCTGTTCTCCCAGATATCTCTAGGAAGTCCATGAGCAGGACCTGATCAGGACCTCGCCCCACCTGTGAGTCCCAGCCAGCGGTGTTGAGAGAGGTAGCATGCCATCAACATAGCTGGGAGCTGATGATAGTCTTGTCCTCTGCAAGCTCTGATGTGAGGGCAGCCTGGGCTCCCCCAGCTGTTGTGGGCTGAGTTTCTTTGAAATGAAATATTCTTGGCGCTGCGGTTAATAGCCGTCATGATTCTTTTGTTCCTCTGAGCCGGCGATACTCTTGTCACTCCCGAGTCTGAGAGAGACAACCGAGGCACAAGCTATTCTTAGTCGCTGTGCACCCTGTTATCAGAGTGGGTGGGACGTGTCCCCATATCTTAGGGGAACTGACAAATTCCTGGGTTTGGTGAGAGCACCCAAAGGACGGGGGGAGAGGAGACAGAGCGTGATTGACACAGCAGAATGTTCTCGTAGCAAGCATTGGGATCTCCCAGCAAAGCATTTTGCGCTAAGATGATATCAGGTCCTGAGATGGATCTGAAGCTGTGGCATGCTTGTTAACTGGGAAGAGGGAATATGAAACACCATGACAGTCTTTGTCAGCCTGATGCCAGCTTCCAGACTACAGCTCCCACCAGCCCCAGCCAGCATGGGAGCTTGTGTAGAAAGTAGCTGTCGTGCATTGGTTGGACGCAGAGAAATGCTGGGAGGAACCAGCTGGGGAACCCCCAAGGGAAGAAAGCTTAGAGCCTAGGGATTGGTGGCCTTCTTTCTTCATGTACTTTGGCAATCACTCATAGCTGAGTAAGATTATCTTTCATGAACACGGTTTTAACAGTGAGTCCGTAGGTGACTGTGGAGGCCAATTCTGCATCCACATGTCCTTCCACAGTGGGGACATAGGTTTCCGGGCAGGAGTTGATCACGGTGAGGGTTTGCCAAATGTGCCCTCTTCTTAGCTCGTTTCTCTCTCGCAGGCCAAGGTTTCGCAATTGTCAGTGTTTATACTACATTTTTTAGATTTGACTTGAGTGAGTCTTTAATAATAATAATAATTTATTATTTATACCCCGCCCATCTGGCTGGGTTTCCCCAGCCACTCTGGGTGGCTCCCAACTAATATTAAAAAGAGAATCAAACATTACAAACTTCCCTAAACAGGGCTGCCTTCAGATGTCTTCTAAAAACCTCTTTTGTTTACCACCAACATTACACTTTCCATTTTTAAGTTTGGAATAGGGTAGTTGCTTAGGCATCAGAACAACCTGACCAGTCCAACGAAGTTGATGTTGAAGAATCATTGCATCAACACTGGTGATCTTTTTGCTTCTTCCAGTACACTGACATTAGTTTGCCTGTCTTCCCAAGTGATACGTAAAAATTTTCGGAGATACCATTGATGGAGTCTTTAGAGGAGTTGGAGATGGTGTTTATAAGTGCTCCATTGCTGGTGGGATGGTGATGAGTGGTCAGAGGGAGAAGACTGGGAAGAGGAGGTGTTGGAAGCTGAAGAGGTAACAAGGCTTAGTGAGCTGGGAGAGTCTGTGGCAGAGAGAAGCCCATAATCAGAGGCAGAAGCTGAAGCAGGAGAGTGGAAAGAGGGAGGCCAAGAGGCAGAGATGATCCAGGTTGGGGAAGAGTCATGGGTGTCTCCCCCTCCTGCTTAGATAATCTCCCCTGTCACTAGTCTCCCAGAACCAGAAGAGGCATGAAGTGGGAGGAGCAAAGGCAGGCATGTCGGCACAGTCTCAGATTGCTTGGGGAAAACCCCGAAGAGGAGAGGTCTTAGTAAACTGTCTGGAGGTGGGGCCCTTCAGTCTTGCCAACTGCTTCATAAGTGCAAGACCTACCAAATAAGAGTTGCTATTCTTCTTGTGCTTGGCACTCCTGTGCAGATCCTGTTTTCCCTACTAAAGACTTTATTCCACTTGCTTTTGTGTGATTGGCTGCTGGCTCGCTCCTGGCAGTATCTATTTGTGCTTTTACCTTGTGTTTTGTATCTTGCGAACTGCCCTGAGATCTTTCGATGGAGGGCAGTACAGTGGTACCTCGGGTTAAGTACTTAATTCGTTCTGGAGGTCCGTTCTTAACCTGAAACTGTTCTTAACCTGAAGCATCACTTTAGCTAATGGGGCCTCCTGCTGCCGCTGCACAGCTAGAACACGATTTCTGTTCTCATCCTGAAGCAAAGTTCTTAACCCAAGGTAATATTTCTGGGTTAGCGGAGTCTGTAACCTGAAGCGTATGTAACCTGAAGCGTATGTAACCTGAGGTACCGCTGTATAGAAATCTTATTTATTTATTAGATTGTGAACTTGACATCTGGTGCTCCCTTTGCTTTTGCCTCTGGCATGTGGCCTCTGAAAGGCTGCCCAGAAGGAAGTGTGGCCCTTGGTCAGGAAAAGGTTTCCCACCGCTGCTTCTAAGGTAGAGATGTGTGTCAGTGCTGGGATGGGGGGGGGTGAAGGCAGGGAACGGCAGAGGAACATTCAGGGGAGCTTCAGGTTTGAAGGGCCCCTGGCTTAAAGGTGCTTTGGTGGTCCTTCTCCTCTGTTTAGTGGTCCTTTTTGGCTTACATGGTTGTAGGCTTAGGCAAGGCTTCAAGCAGCCCTGGGGGGTGGGGGTTGAGGGCTGTCATTTTAATGGTAGCACCAATGTGTCCTAAAGGGTGTTGGGCCACTGGGAGCTGTCCAAGGCTGCCAGGTGCTGATCCCCAGAATTGTTCAGTGACGGAGATAAGCTTGCTGGTGTTTACTGGTTTCTGCTACCTGAGATGCGAAAACCTCTAGGCTTTCTGTAGCATGCCTAAATGACAATGGTGCCTAACATATGATAAGTAGAAATTACTTGAAAGTACCAAATGGGCTTAGGATTATAGTAAGAATAAATTGTAAAATATTATGGATTTGGATAATTATGAAAAGAGAAGAACATTGTAAATTAAAGGAATAGATTAGATTAGAAAGAAGATATTGGAAAGCTGTTAAAAAAGTGTTCCAATGAAATTCAGTAAGGAGGGAGTCGAGGAAGTCAGCTAATAATGAAAATTAAATTAGGTTTTAAAGTATTAAGTAATTATATGTTCGTTTTTGTTGTTTTCCGTTTTAGTATTGTAATGTTGTTTTTTCTTTTCTATTTGTGTGTTTTATTTCTTATAAATTTGGAAAATTTAATAAAAAAAATTGTGTGTTTTATTTCTTATAAATTTGGAAAATTTAATTAAAAAAATTTGTGTGTTTTATTTCTTATAAATTTGGAAAATTTAATAAAAAAATTGAAAATAAAAATGACGATGGTGCCTATCATGCAGGTTGAGACCAGGCGATGATAATGTGTCCAGTTTGTGCATCCAGGAGTTATCCCTCTGTGCTTAGATCACTGGACCCGCTAGCCAGCACTGCTTTAGCATCAGCAAAAATGAAGCCCTTCTGAGCATTCCACCCTCAAAGTTCTCTACAACGGCCACCTTGGAAACAGCTTTCATTTCATCTTTATCAGAGCAGTTGATGAAGGAGGAAGCAGAAATGTTCTGCCACGTAAACAAACAAAACTCCTCTGCTCTGTTAAACACAGCAACTTATTTGTTTGTTTGTGGTGGCATAGAAATCCTGAAGCATTGATGATCTAGATGCATCCCAGCTGAGTATTGCAACTTTGCATCCCTTGTAGAATATATGTTTTTTCCTAGAGTGTCCCTAAGGTTTCCTGGGATCTACCGTTCACCTTGATCTTTTGGCCTTCAGAGCTGTTTTCGATTCTCTTTGGAGCTGAGCCCCCGCCCCCTTTCCTCCTGAAATTTTGGCTGCTTGTCAGCTTGTCATTCAATCAACACCTTCGAAGGTGTGATCTTCCACATCTGCCCCCCTAAAAGAGATGATTAGTGATCTGTCAGTTGCTGCAGAAGAATTATGCAGCATCTGTTGAGGAAAACCCATTGGTGGAAAAGAGAAAGGAAAGAAAAGAGATCAAATGCAAAATTGCCAAGAGAATTATTCCAAGTTTTCTTCTTCTGTGCTTTCTTGCTTATGTGTGTGTGTGTGTGTGTGTGTGTGTGTGTGTGTGTGTGTGTAGGATAAGTCTAGGATCAGGATGAGTAGAATCAAGTGGTGACAGAAACAGAAATGAAACACACAACACATACAGAAACCTCATCAGCAAAAGTACTGTTAATCTTTCTGACAAATGTTAAAAATCAGCATGTGAGTTTCTTTTGGCGACTCAAGTGCCTAGAGTCGGCTGGGGTCCAAAAGATGATCCATGGCAATTTGGGTTTTCTCTGGATTGATCTTTGTTCCAATTTAGCAGTAATGAGAGGGTTTTCCATGATGGGAAAGGAGCAGGGCTTGGACCCATTCCTAAAAAGCAAGGGTCAAGTGGAAAACTGCTTACACCTATGCTTTCTAGGTATAGGAGAAGCAGAAGTGTGGATGAGCTCTGTATCTCACAGGTACTAGCCAATAGGCGCCTTCCAGTTGTTTGACTCCAACTCACATTAGTCCCAGCCACATGGCCAATGTTCCACATTGTTTTAGTTTTAGTTTTAGTTCAACAACAACCAAGAGCTCTAAAGGCAACTATTCCAGGTTTAAGATTTGAGAACCTGCAATCCTGACAGAAAAAGGCTATATTTGTATTGAATTTGACAAGACTGCGGTCAAATGGGACTCCACAGCTCTTAAAATAGCGCATCTTTCTTCAAGTTGCCCTATAATTCCCAGACCTAACTAACACCTTGGTCCGCGGTTGGAGAAAACAACCAGCTTTGTCCTCTTAATACTGCAAAGTGCTTTGTTTTATTACTGCTCAGAGATGTGCCTAAACCCACCCTTTTATATCTAATTTGTTTGGAATGACAGGCATGTTCCAACTAAAAAAATAATAATTCTGCAGGGTGATATAACTTGTTTTATTATGCAGGAATTTGCCGTTTGAGGGAGGAGTGGGGGAGGGTGAATAGGGAAGAAAGACAGAAGAAAAACGCTTAATTAGGCCTGTA